ACTTGAAGAACTCGGAGGCAGCTACGTCCATGCCAATCACCACCTTGTCGGTGTAACCAGCTTTCCCAATAGCATTCTTCAGCAGCTCCAGGGCTGGAAAGGGATGGTAGTTGCACAGTCAAGTTAAGTCTAGGAAACCCACTGGGGCAATTCTACCTTATCCTACAGGGAAGCTATGAGTTGGAATTGACTTCATGTCACTGAGTCTGAATACCTTTTTAAATTCAGCATCAACTTGGATAATCCTGAATGACAAATGCTACTAAATTTAGCGTTCAGGATGAACTTGTTGGCCAAGATCAGTTACAGTGACCAGCTGAGATCAGCTGGCCGAGGATCATGCCTTAAATAGCTGAGGTCAGAAGCCCAGAGCAGGCCTGTGGTAGAAGGGAGCCCAGGGCGCACAGCTCTGCTCTGTTGTCAGCCTCGGGCTCACCTTACATGGCAGTGTGGCTCTGATCTGGCGGCGCCACACACTGGACCTCTGTCCCTCAAAGATCCTAAGTGGCTGGGTGAAATCATGTCAAAATACTACTACTACCACCAGCCACATGTAGCTGAACTTTAGCACTTCATACACATAAACCAGTGAAGGAACGGAGTCTGCCCTTTGAGACAATACAAATCCAGCTGAGCACACATTTTCCTCCTACAACACAAACGTCTGTGCTGAACTCGTGCTATCTTATATGCACCTTCTCCCAAAGGAGTCAAACAGACTGCAAAAAGAGCACACGCCTGCGTGAGCCTGACTGCAGCTTTGTGGGCCGCAGCCACCAACTGCAAGCAGACAGACCAGGTTTTACCCCTCCAGGGGCGAGATGGTGTCAAAACAGCAAAGAAATTCCTTGGTCAAAGTGAAGCAGCAGCTCTAGATGCCCTCTCTACAACCCTGCTTGCCCAACTTCAACAGAGGCTGGAAAGACCATTACCCCCAAAGGCCCCCCTGGAGCCATTACCTTCTTTGTTCTCCAAGATGTTGGGGGCAAATCCGCCTTCATCCCCGACATTGGTGGCATCCTTGCCATACTTCTCCTTGATGACGTTCTTCAGGTTGTGGTATACCTCGGCCCCGATGCGCATGGCCTCCTTGAAGTTGGCTGCCCCGACGGGGAGGATCATGAACTCCTGCATGGCCAGCTTGTTGCCGGCATGGGAGCCGCCGTTGATCACATTGAAAGCCTGGGAGGGAGAGGGGACAGTCCGGCATTCAGCCCACAGGACCCAAAGAATAGGGTCCAATGACAAGGCTCCAAGGTGAGCCTGAGCCTTGGGCCTGCTGTCGCCAAAAAAGGCCCCCTTGGCTTCTGGACATAGCAATCCTGTTGCCACCAGGGTCACCCACTGTTCTAAGCACCTGTGATTATGTTTGATCTCAACCATCAGGCTCAGTCTGGTTTTGGCTCCTACCGCAAGATGGATCTGGATGTGGGAGGTGTGTCGCGGACCCTGCCAACACCCTATTCCCCATCTGCAAAGTTCAAATTAGCAACTCACAGGAACTGGCAGGATAACTTCGGAATTGCCAGCTAAGTCAGCAATGTGACGGTATAGGGGGACTCCCTTCTCAACAGCTCCGGCCTTGCACACAGCGAGGGACACGCCCAGAATGGCATTTGCACCAAATTTTGCTGGAAGAGAACAGGATCAATGAATTGACAGTAATCACTCACCACCTCAGATGGTATTCCGACCCCTTCTGCACCCCTATTCCTCATAGTGTAAAGTATCCACATTAGATATGCAATTAAGCAAATTAAGCAGGCCCCCCCCCCCGGTTTTCCCTACTACGAGATGCCCCCCCCACTTGGTGGGTCACAGATCTATTGTAAACTCTAGAAAATGGTTGGTAATTAAGGGCAAATGACTCCCTAATAACCTGGCAATGCTCCCGGTTTTAAAAATCCCAGTTGCTGGGGTGAGTCACAGAAATGGGGAGAGATGGACTGTCCAGCTCTCTTCCTTGGTCAAAATCTTCCTGGGCCACTCACATTTATTCTCAGTTCCATCCATCTCAATCATCAGCTTGTCGATCTTTTCCTGTTCCGTCACGTTCACCTTCTACAAGGAAGGAGAGAGGGTGAGCTTTCAGGGGGAGAGACTCAGGGCCACGCTGTTCACATCAAAAACCCCAAATGAGAAATCAGCAGGGAGGGGAAATTGCCTTTTGCCTGCTTCAAGGGTGTTAGTTAGGCATCACCTAAACAAGGGGGGCTAATAATGACACACACAGGGACAACTTATGACAAGGGCCTTGTGCCATGAAGGTTAGTCACCTGAGAACCCAAAGCTACATTTTAAACAAAGCAAAATTGTCTAGCACATGCTACATACGGCACTACTCTCAGGTACTGTTTTCACTCATAATACACAGGCATTGCACTTTTTTATGTACAAACCACACAACCTCCTTGTGCGTTTAGTTTGCTGTGCATGAGCATGTTACTTCTGTAGGTGCATTAGGGAAAAATTGGTAATAATTTTTGGGGGGCAATAAATGAATAAAAATGCACCATTCATTATTATATGCTTAACATTAATGGGCCATCTGCAATCATCCACACACAACACACACTGATGCCACACCGCCACTAGCATTGGAGAGATGACTAGTGCAAGCAGCCCCATTATCACTTAAGCAAAATGTTTGAGGACTGATCAAAGGGAGTATTTTCAGTAAAACTAAAATCTGGTATTCTATGAAGTCTCAAAAAATTAAAAAAAAGAAATGTGTAACAGAGGAACCATATAATTAAACTAAACCTTAAACTAAACTATGAAAATACACACCCACCCCCTCTCCAAATTGTTACAGGGATGATGTGGAGTGCTTTGCTCTTGATAAGGCATTGTTGGAAGAGACACACAAGCAGATGGCGTCTGAGGCGGACCTCCCCAGCAGTCCAGCTGCATGCCTCCCCCAAGGGGAAAGAGCCCCAGAGAGCCCTCGGCCTGCTGAAAGCTTCCCCTGCTTGTGCTGTCTGCAGGCGCCCAGGAGGCTGCGATGAAGGGCATAGCCCAGTGCAGTAGTGAGGAATTAGCCTGGGGAGGAGGTGGGCAGGGATCAATTACAGAGTGCCACCAAGGCCAGGCTCAGAGGAATCAGCAGGGAGGGAGCCGTTGTGGTTACAGAAGGAATGAATCCTCAGAGGGGACCGGGCTGGCTGTGTTTGAACTTGAGAGAACTCCTGTAGACAAAGGCTCTCACATCATTCCCTCGCAGGAGTTACAGAGGGGACAGGAGAGACACAAACTTGAGGAGATTTGCGTCAGGGTGCCGAGTATCCCTCTTACATGGAGTTTCGAGTGAAACGCTAAATCTGCGTTAAAAAACAAACAAACCCCAAACCCAAATAACCCAACTTGAATTAAAACAGGGTAAATAACTATAAAATCTGCCACTGAGTAATTCTGACTCATAGCAACCCTACACGAGGAGGGTCTCTGGAGCGGAGATCTCCGTGAGAGGAGGGAACCCCATCTTTTTCCTGGCTGGGCTGACAGCTGACTTTGCAGTTAGCAATTCTGCTAACATCACCGACATCCTCACCAGGGCTCCCAATAGAACTTTCCAGTGCATTAAGAATGAGGGTCCTGCTCCTGACAGAGGTACTCTCCAAACTTTAGGATCATTCCTTCAAAGTCAAGACAGCCGGAGGCCGTGTCAGGAATCAATCCCAATACCATGCATGGTGGACGTGGCGCACAAGCCGTGGCAGGTGAGAAATAGCCAGACAGGGAATCCCACTGGCTGCTTTAGCTCTCAGAGTAAGCTCTTCAACACACAGGAAGCCCACTACTCTGGGAAATGCTCTATGGACATGAATGGGTACTACTGATTGGGAGACGGCTCCTACCTTGCTAACCAGGGCAGGCGCAATCGTTTTATTGATGTGCTCAACAGCCTTTGAGACACCTAGAGGGAACAACCACATCGAATTACTGACATGAATTAAAAAACCAGGCTTGAGCAACATTGCTGGAAAGGGCCATTGAAGAAGTCAACCCAGATATTCAGAAGCCACCAGAAGATCTTCAATGGCCCCTCCTGAAAGACCCCATTCTCCCCATCCACCCCCAGGATCAGAGGGCTATATGGCCCAGTCTGAGGGTTCTGACCTAGGACCCCAAAGGGTTAGAGCCAATCACAGAGCAACCACCTCAGACCATCTGCAGGTAGTTAGTTTGCAAGACCATGCACTGGACACACCAGCTGAGGAGCCACGGACCGAGAAGATGCCCCTGATTACCTGGGTGCACAAGGCGGGTGCCAGGAACTCATTAATATACTTAACGGGTCTGGAGACACCTGACCAGTAGAGATTGACAAGAGAAGGAAAAAAAAGAAAACTCAGAAGAGAACAGGGCATGAAGGACTCAGGGTGAGAGAGAGAGAGAGAGAGAAAGAGAGAGAGAAAACAGGAAGGCAGACGAGAATAGTTCAGAGACCGTGAGTTCATCTCTTGGTTAAGTATTTATTTATGAGCATTTATTACCATCAAGGCACAAATTCCTGTTGCTTTAGACACAGACTCCTGAAGGGAGCAAGCAATGGTAACAGATGGGAACGTGATCTCTAGTCTGTACGGTGTGACCGAGCCCCATTGTACAGCCTTCCTCAGGGTGAGCCTCTTTAGATTGCCCCCTCATCATGAAAACACCAACACTGGGATCTTTTGGGGGCTACAAAATGCCAGGGTCTTTGTCCTTGGTGAGACACGCATGCTCTAGCCCGATCTGTTCCTCTGGCATGTACCCACACAGGTTCCACCTACAGGATGGCAAAGTTAAAACCCACTAATTGGGCCAGTGGCTGGCTTTGCCACAAAGTTGCCAATCAGTCAACAGATCCAGTTAACACAGTTGACCTGTGTAATCCACCAATTTAAGAGTGGCTTACCAACACCTCTAGACTTTCCTTTCCAGGATGGACCCTTGAAGAGGGCCTGGAAAGCTCCCAAGCCCCCTGGAGAGAAGGGGAAGCATTCCTTAGTTTCAAACAGGCTCTCTTCTCACCCTGAGGGCCCTGGACCCATGAGGATGGAGACGCAAGACAGCCCTCGGCACCAGGAGCCAGCACAGGCCATGGGCTGTCTGCAAAGACCCGAAGAGGAAGGGCATGGCAGTGTGGAAGCCAGTCTCCAGTTCTTACCTTTGCCCAGATACCGGGTCTTATCATTGTCCCGGAGCTCCAGGGCCTCATAGATCCCAGTGGAGGCACCACTGGGCACAGCAGCTCTGAAGAGCCCTGCGAGGGGAAGGAGAGAAGGGAAAACTGGATGAAGACAGTCAGAGCTCCTCGCCACGCTCCCTCCCACTCACATGGCACCCACCCTCAGAACACAAGGTCACGTCCTTCTACCAAGCGGCCTCTTCTTCCCACATACCACACTGCTCGGACTACAACACGGACCCTACTGCAAAGCAGACATGTGTCTTGAATTTAACAGAAATGCTTCAGAGCAGGCTGCTCAAACTCACCAGTGACTGCAGCCCCCGAATGGGGAGGTCCCAGAGCCCAGTGCTCACTCTGCAGACCACAACTTAATGACATTGCCCACGGAGGTGCACCGTGAGCATCTGGTGGGGCTTTAATGTACGATGTCCTAGTAGCTTTGTTAAAATGAATTCCTTGTATTGACTTAAAATATATTCAAACCATCATTTCAAACACCATTTGATATTCTATTTTTCATACCAAATCCTCAAAATCCAATGTGTATTACTCAGTTTCAGGAGGGTCAGGAGAAATGGAAAGTGGAAAACACACAGGGAGGCAGTAGGATAAGCGACGTTACGTGGTGGGGATTGCCATCAATGCTGTGAATCAAGATATGTGTGAACTGCTGAATGGAAAACGGACCTACTTTGTAAACCATCACCTAGTTCAAAATAAAATGCAAACAGAACACTTCAAACAACACATCTCAGTGACCACGTGTGGGCAGCAGCTGCCAGGATATTTGAGTGTTCAAAGTGCTGGCTCCAGAGCTCACAGAGGAAGCGCGGCCGCAGCTCGCCGGTTTCAGTCTGGACAATGGGAATTGCTATTTTGGGGGTTCCCTGCACAACAGGAACCTCAAAACCAGGGTGAATCAAGTGTAAAGAAGTATCAGGTTGGCTGCATTAAGACACCATTAAGCAATGAACTGTGCAGTCTAACAGGCATCAAGCAGCCATCTGGCTACAGCTACACAAAGGACCATAAACCGGCAAACCTTGGAGAAGGGAGCGGAGGGAGTACTGCAGAGTAGGTTACAGGAAACAGACCCGTTGAGGCGACGACAGGAACAGGAAGTATGGTTAATCGCCTGCAATTACTCTTCTGGGTAAAGAATTGCCCCATTTGAGCCACGTGAAAATTGGTCAGTAGACAAAATCATACAAGAGACCAGGTTTACTGCTTGGATGGAGATAGGAGGGGGCCCTCAGTCATCCTTCAGGTTTGGAGTGGCACTCCCATCCACGGTAGAATCATCAATTGCTGAAGCTCAAAAGAGGAGCCCGGTGGTGGAGTGGGTTAAGGGGTGAGCTGCTAACTACCAGGTCAGCAGTTTGAAGCCACCAACCAGTTCCTCGGGGAAAAGACATTTTCTCCTGCAGTGCAGCTACAGTCTTAGAAACCCACAGGGGCGTTCTACCCTTACCTACAGGGTCTCTAATAAAGCAGAACTGACTTGATGCCACTGTTCGTTTTTTCAAGCCCACAAGTGCAACATGCACCGAAGGACTAAGCTCAGAGGGTTAGGGGGAAGAGGAGGGAAACGGAGGGAGTGGGCTAAGTGAGGACACCGCAATGCACGAGTGGAAGCAAACTGTGTGTGAATTGCTGAATGTAAACTAATGACCTACTCTAAACTTCCACTTCATTCACAAAGTTTAAAAGAAAAAACAGAAGCATCAGAAAAAAAAGATTTGGAGGGACGTTCAGGCAAGTGAACAAGGGGGGGGGCTGGGGGCTCAAATCAACCAGGGAACTGAAACAGATGATAGTTGAGTTGCTTGCCTCCCTTGTGTGCTCATCCATGACAAGGACACACATTTCTTAGGACCTGCTCCCACTGGCCGTGCACTCACCAAGCCTAAGGCCAGTGATGAAAGGCTCTTGACAAATCCACCCTCCATGTTGTTTGTTAAAAAAAAAAGAGAAATGAGCGACAGAGTATCATTTACCAAAATTATTTTAAAATATTCTAACTTCACAGTGTTTCAAGGGGAAATATATATACATCTATCTATTCCATTTCATGTTTAAGTAAGCCGCTCTTTCCAATCTTCCAATGACCTAGGCCTTTTCTGTTTGCTTGTTTTAAGTCCTTTCGTTTCCCAGGGGAGTCTCGCCCCTGACTAAGCAAGGCACTCTCACCAGCCAAGGAACATTCTCAGCCCCTTGGAAGACCCACAGCACCAGCCACAGGGCATAGAATCCTAAGGAGCCTCACAGCATGTATGGCGTCCTGGTGAGTAGCCCCAGGTAGGCTTCTGGTGCCAATGGATCCAGCCTCAGAACCCCTCCCTGTTCTGTAGGATGGGTGAGGAGGGCAGGCAGGCGTGCGACTCACAGTGACTCAGCCTGACTGGCAGATCTCAGTGAGCTCAGCACCACTGGGTGATTCTGCCCGAAGCTCCTTCCCAACCCCCCTCCACCACATCCAGTTATACATCAGACCC